CTGTAATGATAAGACAGCCGGCTGGGATGGAATTTACAGATAAGATTATGTGCCAGTAGAGATTTATATGAGGTAAAGGGCAGACTATGTAAGCACGGTTTAGGTGAACAGGGAAAGCCGGAGGTTTGGGTTAAATATACTAAGCAGCAGTGATTTCCAGAAAAATCCCCACTGCCACCGGTGGCTGAACTGGCTTCTTTATCATGGTAATTCCCTTTCTGACACCGTCCAATCAAAGACATTTTCAACAGACGAAGATAACACACTAAAAATTCAAATGTGCTACTCTTTCCGCGATAGTCCGGAAGGTGATGATGGATGTGGCGTGTTACCTGCAGTCCTGATTAAACAGAGGACATTGTGCTCCTGTCTCACCTCTGCAGGTTCCTCTTTACCTCCAACAATCATGTAAATACGAAAAGAACAAGGTTAACATCTCGATACAACGTGAGCATTGTATCAATATGGAGTAAATGGAAAAATGCCATTCTTGGCTGCAGCGGCAGATAACAAACAAAGCGTCGGAGACTAGTGCGAAAGTATTTTGCATATTCTGTTTGCAAGAAACTCGACAAATCTGGCTGAATGAGTCATGCAAACAAGCCTAAATAAGAATATGTTCCACGAATGTAGCTACAAAGGGGTGGCGCAGCTAGCCTAACAACCTCTGGGACAGCAATTGCTCTGTGGCAATTAGTCAGAAAACTTGCCACAAGAAAATCCTGCAGCTGCCTCTTATAGTTCTTCAGAATGCCTGCTAAAAGACAGCTGTGAACATTCTTTGTTTAGAGGTTCATTTTCATAATCAAGGCTCGCAATTACATTGCCACATTGTTAGCCATCTGCCTTCCTTCGCTAGCCTCAGCTGAGGGCTGTAAAGAGCTATTAGTGTGATATAAAGGTACATTAGCAGCTAATATGGATTATTAGGATACTGGGTATCAGAACGAGACTGCAGTTTTGACAGACAAATTGCATAACACTGGTTCGATGCAAATCATGCATGGGCATTAGAATGAATTGTACGAAACCTGCCCAGAACAGATCATTATTCACCCGAAAATCAAAAGAAAAAAAGTTGATATTTTGCTTTAAGGATGTAGATTTTGTTTTGCATTTCAAGAAAATTAACCACACTTTCCTTTGAAATTACTATTACCGAAATGCAAATACTTAAATAATATTTTATATCTTTTTTTAAATTCTCAAAATAAATGATCAACACACATATATACAGTACATATAATACAAATAATGCAAAATTAAATTATTAAATGAATAAAAATCATAAATTATACTTCAAAATTATAGCAATTTAAGTAAGTGAATTTATTACAAATACACATTCCTCTGGTTTTGACTGAACTTCAAAAATAAAATAATCCTTTTCGTGAAGTCAATTGCTTTATCAGAAATAAGTGCCAATAACCTCAACATTAATTAAGTTTTCTTGGAACAAAAAGATGAATTGTTCAGATATTAAGACAAATTGGATTTTCATCCTCTCTGAATTTTGGGCTATTTCATTAAAAACTGGTGGATAAAGGTAGAGAAGGAAAGAAGAGGCAACGCTGATGTTGAAAAGAAGTGGGTGGAAAACTGGGCTACATTTGCAATCTCACGGGGAAATTGAGAGAGGAACAGGGAGAGATAAGCATACACAAACCCCAGCATTAGAGAAATGCGGTGTAAAAAAAGAAAGAGTCTGCCCTTTTTTAAGGTAAGGAAGAGAGGGCAGAGAATAAGGAGCAGTGCTCATTTTTGAGTCAGCAGTCGCAGTACTCTTTGAAAAACAGGACACGCACCTGGTAGGGAAGAAAAAAAGTGTGCTTTTGGAAACCACAGTGAGCCCAGACCACATATTTTGCTCTAAAGAGAACAGAAGGCCAAATGCTGCCTCTCAACTGGCTTTTTTCTGCATGAGCCTTTCCTTTTTAACCTCCTGATCTTTAGTGCTGGAGGTATCACTGCCTCTGAAATTTCCCCATGAGCACTTTTAACATCTAACCTGTATGTGATATCGCACCATCTGGATTCTTTGTTTTCATCCTCATCCCACCTATTGGTAGCCATCCTTATTTTATTTCTTCCTTAAGTGTGCTACTTCGAGAAGCTAATTATGGGTGCAACGACCCCCAAGGCTGTTAAAAGTACCTTGTCACCAGCTCGGTTTGCTATGGCGTATATGAGGTCAAGTGCAATTAAGACTAGCAAGTCGAACCTCTCTTTCCTTCCCTCTAATTCTCGCTCTTTTTCTCGCCGACAGGCTCTGACAGGACAATTTCTCCTCTGTGGGTGAGAAAGTGAGAGATCATGACACAGACCATCAATAACAGATGGAGGGACCACAAGTAGGGGGGATTTTACAGTGGCACATTTCATCTAATTAATTCTTGTCAAGTCACTCAAAGTCAATACCTCTGAAAGATAGGAAATCTTTACACAAGGGTTGAAATATATCTGCGTAACAACTAGTTAAAGGCTGTTAAGAACTTAAAGGAATAGTTTGACCCCAAAAATGAAACGTCTGTCATCGTTTATTTACGCTCATGTCGTTTCAAACCCGTATTACCTTCTTTTGTCTGTGGAGCAGAAAATAAGATACTTTGCAGAGTGTCCAAGCTGCTCTTTTCCAGTGGAAACTGGGGCTGTAACAGCTCCTAAAATGACAAAACACACCAGAAAAATATCATAAAAGTGGTTTGCATGAATATATGTGTGCTATATTCTTCTTCTCGATATATTTGATAAGTTTGTGTGAGGAAACACAAACTCGATTGCTAGATTGAAACATTCAGCATCCAGTTGTGATGTTTTGCTTCCTTAAGTGTGCTACTTCGAGAAGCTAATTATGGGTGCAACGACCCCCAAGGCTGTTAAAAGTACCTTGTCACCAGCTCGGTTTGCTATGGCGTATATGAGGTCAAGTGCAATTAAGACTAGCAAGTCGAACCTCTCTTTCCTTCCCTCTAATTCTCGCTCTTTTTCTCGCCGACAGGCTCTGACAGGACAATTTCTCCTCTGTGGGTGAGAAAGTGAGAGATCATGACACAGACCATCAATAACAGATGGAGGGACCACAAGTAGGGGGGATTTTACAGTGGCACATTTCATCTAATTAATTCTTGTCAAGTCACTCAAAGTCAATACCTCTGAAAGATAGGAAATCTTTACACAAGGGTTGAAATATATCTGCGTAACAACTAGTTAAAGGCTGTTAAGAACTTAAAGGAATAGTTTGACCCCAAAAATGAAACATCTGTCATCGTTTATTTACGCTCATGTCGTTTCAAACCCGTATTACCTTCTTTTGTCTGTGGAGCAGAAAATAAGATACTTTGCAGTGTCCAAGCTGCTCTTTTCCAGTGGAAACTGGGGCTGTAACAGCTCCTAAAATGACAAAACACACCAGAAAAATATCATAAAAGTGGTTTGCATGAATATATGTGTGCTATATTCTTCTTCTCGATATATTTGATAAGTTTGTGTGAGGAAACACAAACTCGATTGCTAGATTGAAACATTCAGCATCCAGTTGTGATGTTTTGCCCTCACGTTTGCTTGGTGAGACAGCTGATTTTATTGGACCCAGTATTGCATCAATTGTGAATTGTAGTCTTTCTACAGGTATTTTTCCATCACATCTTAAGCAAGCAGCTGTTCAGCATCTTCTCAAGAAGTCTGCTTTGGATCCTTTGGATTTCACAAATTACTAGCCAATTTCAAAGCTGCCTCGTATTTCAAAAATATTGGACAAAGTGGTTCTAAATAGGGTTGCAAAAAGGTGGAAAATTTCCAGTAAATTTCTGAAATATTCCAGAAATTTTGGAAACTTTCCAGGATTTTTTGGTATATTCCAGCAATTTTTGGAAAGTTTCCGGAAATTTACCGGAAATTTTCCACCCCTTTGCAACCCTGGTTCTAACACAGTTGAGTTCTTTTTTGGCTAAGAATGATGTGCTAGATGTTTGTCAGTCTGCTTTCAGGGCAGGACATAGCACCGAATCAGCTTAATTACGGGTTACCAATGATTTGTTACTCATTGGGGACTCTGGTAGTTGAGGAGCTTTATTTATGCTCAACCTTAGTGCAGCTTATGATTTAATAGATCACGATGTTCTCATTGAGCAATTAGAGCATGTTGTGGGCCCGCGAGGGACTGTTTTAAAATGGCTTTCTTCTTTTTTGTGAGGTTTGGGGAATTCTCTTACACTAGTTTCTATTGACTGTGGAGTTCCTAAGGGCTCCATTTTGGGGCCTATTCTGTTTTCTTTATTCTTGCTGCCCTTAAGGCAATAAGGAATCTGGGCGTAATCTTTGACTTAGCACTAACATTTGATGATTAGATTAAATGTGTGGCGAAAAATTGCTTTATTCAGTTGAGGACTATTGCAAAAATGTTATATTTTTTTCTTTAATCTTTTGATCTTGAGATTACCATTTATCTCCTCCTGCTTGGATTATTGTAATGCACCTTATTTGAGAGTAAGCCAATCTCTTATTTGAAAATTGCAATTGGTCCAGAATGTAGCTGCAAGGCTCCTCACTAGCACAAAGAAAACAATATTACACTAGTTTTGGAAAAGCTGCACTGGCTTCTAGTTATATATCAGATTCTTTATAAGGTGTTGCTCTACGTCGATAAAGCTGTCCATGGTATGGCCCCAGAATATATTATGAATCTGATTCATATGAATTCTTGTAGACCTCAAAGATCACTTAATTGTTTACTACTCTCAATTCCGAAAACCCGCCTGAAAACTAAAGGATCGGGCATTTTCCATTGCTGGTCCAAGACTGTGGAATACCCTTCTACCTGACATCAGATCTGTACCTTCAATTGACATTTTTAAATCTCGTTTGAAAACATACTTGTTCTCTATGACTTTTACTTGTTGAAATTTGGTGAAAGTTGTACTTTGTTTTATTTTCTCTTTGATGTTGTTGTTTTCTTAAATTTTTTCTGTTATTGATTTTTGTCTTTTTGTTATTTTCTTATTTTTATTTGTATTTTTTTAACTGTACAGTCATTTGGTCTGCCTTGTAGTGGAAAGTGCTCTATAAATAAACTAGACTTGAGACTTGAAAATGCAAGAATTAAACGATTATTCACAAAAAAAGCAAACTAACATAGATCTGAAATCTTGTTCGTCATCAAGTTGCCAGTTTGACATCAATGAGATTAAATGTCATGTTTCTGTGAAAGCTACAATAGAATAACAACTTTTGATTATACATAACTTCAGTCTGTTTTACGCACAAATCAATTGTACGGTTTCAGAAGACGTCAAGTGCAGTGCACAACTACTTTCATGGTGTTTTTCACCATTTTTAAACTTGACATCTCCTGCTGCCAGTCGCTCATGTCATTTTGTGTTTGACGGAAGAAATAAAATCATACGGGTTTGGAATGACATGAGTGCGATTTAATTTTCATGTAAAATCCAGATGAACACCACTCCGCTCAACTCAAAACACATAAATACTCAGAAATAATGTATAAATTAGGTTAATGTCTTACAAAGAGCAAACCAATGTCAAAACGGTCAAGAAATACTGCATAAGCTAACCAATCCCAAGCATTTCCTGGCTGATTTGATTTGATCCTGCATTTTGAAATGAAATACAATATTTACATGTATTACCAACCCACCCGCTCAATTAATGCTTATGTAAAAATACATAAACAGTTACCTAGAGTATTTTCTACATTGAATGCACGAAAGAACTTTCTTCATGATGGATCCACTAAAATGAGATGTAACATTAACAGATAAAGAGACCGAAAAGTAAAATTGTTATAGTCCTTGTGAGGTCCAGCAGTGCCCCCTCTGATCATAAAGAGGGTAGACTGAGCCAGACGAGAAGGGGAAAGGTGAAAAGCTGTCGGATATCAAAGATAAGGAGGTTTAGGTGAAAGGCTGGCCGAAAGGAGGGGATTATTTGGTTAGAAATGGCCGTGACCCTCCTGTTGACCTCGATGACCACCTGAACCGTGCCTCTTGTGCTTTCTGCGCTCGTGGTGGGACTTGTGGTGGTGGCGTCTGTAGCGGTGAGATCTCCTTGCTGAGGATACAAAAAAAATGTGAATGAATCTGGCTATTTGGTTCTCGATATTGACATTTAGAGAATAAAATCGGGGTACTCACACTTCGTACAGATGATCTTGGGTCGGTCCCATTTGCCATTGGCACGACACTTGATGGTGGGAATGTGGCGCAGGAGGAAACCGTCACCACACTGGTAACGCACTACAGAGTGTATGTCATAATGCGAACGCTTCCGACCAATCAAGAAAGCGTTGTCCACGGAGGGCGGAGCTCCACAAAGTACTGCAAAAAAGACAATAATGTAGGATTACAAAAACATAAATAAATCTTGAATCAATATCAAATGAATCAACATACATTCTTAATACAGTATATGTTCTTGGAAATGATGCAGCGTTATTGAAATTCTGTCAGATATGATTATTATTTTTCAAAGATGTAGCTGATAACCGATTATCAATGGCTATATTACTTTAAATAAGATAAAAAAATAAAACATTGAAAACTAAAATCAACAGTTTTAAATGGTACAAAGTGAACTTAAACATCACAACATTATGAAAATAGTTATTAATTTTGAAATTTGTGAAAGATTACATTTAACAGTGTAATGAGAGTGTTTTTAAAACTTGACATTTAAATGAGGGTTAGATGATCAATCAATCAATCAACCAAAGTCAAATAGATCCCATTTTTTGTCTTTCCTATTTAAAAAAAAAATCCAATCTATTCCTGATAGATAAAATCAATTATACTATACTTTTTTTCATTGAATACATTAATAATATTAATGTTAGTTTATTCTTATTTCATGGGTTTCAAATGCGGTTGCATGTTCAAGATTTCTATCTTAGCGAAATCCTTTTCTCTAGACATAGCAGGCATGGTGCATGAAAAATGAACTGCATTCCCTGCTGTAAAGCGCCACAGCCTAGAGACACACTCTTCTACAGCTGTGCCTCAAAGTGATTTATCTAATTAAACAGGTTTGCAGCTCTTTTTTCTTTCATTAGGTGGCGCCCTTGGAGCTGAAACTCAGCGTATCGCTTGACTGAAGATGCAGGAGTCGGCCTGTTCTTTTGTTGCGGTGGGCCAGTAAACACTGCAGGGAACCAATCGGGGTGCAGGCACAATCAATTAGCCTGTGGTATACGGCTCCCCATACATTCATACTCTCTGAGCAGCAAACCTGTAATCCAAAGCTGCACACTATAATCACCTCAGGTTGTTCATTTGCAGCGAAACATCATAAAGCTGACCTGTGATTTGAGTGTTTAATGTCTTCACTCTGGCAGACTTTATGGCCTTGGCAGTTTAGCTTTTCCCCTTCAAGTAAGATTTTCTTTATCAAACGCTCCAGAGCAAGTCGTGCCATTAACATCCTTGCAGAATTTCATGGCACTTTCAGAATCAAATCAATTCTGGGAAGGAACTGCAGGTTATCTGTCGCTCAGTACGGGCAGGAATTGGCACCTAATCAGTGATGGTATGAGCTGGAATTCATCTGGCAAGTCAGCGGCTTCTTGTAAGCCTGATGAGTTTTGTTGTACACGTTTTTTTGGAGGGGAGTTTCTTTGTCTGGAGAGAAAGAGGTATAACCTTCTAGGATGAGGACAGGAGGCAAATGTCACACTTAAAAACACTCGTTCATGCACTCAGCAGCTGTCCTCAATCCACACAAGCTGCGCTCTGATTCAACAATAAATCATAAATAAATAATAGACCATAAAATCTCAATCCTGGATACACTGTACACTTAGATACACTGGCCTCAAAAAGTATTTGGACAACTGGTTAAAATGGTTAAAATTGTATGAATGTCACTTTATTCTTTATTCTATTCTAGATTTTCACTGAGAAGGAAAAATATATCTAACAAATATATTATTTTAAAAGTTTTAAAAAGTTTAATAAAAAAACAAACAAACAAAGACATTACTCTAGACAGTAATGGCGACGCTTTGAATACACCCGGCTTCCTAGATTTCCTCATCTATTTTGTACTTTGTGATCAACAAACAAACTTAGGGCTGCACGATAAATCACATGTGATTGTCATGTGCATCTCATCAGTAAAGCCGGTTCTGTGATTAATAGTAAATCTCCATCATGTGCTTTCAGATGGAGCGGAATTTAATACACAGCGCCATAGATCACTGCTATATCACGTTCATAATCGCATGAACGAGTCACATTCGATTATGAACGTGATATTGTGTAGCTTGTCAGTGTAAGTGTTTTTATTAATGCCATTAATGTTTTTGTTAATACAGCGTAGGCTATAGTACTAATCAACTAAATAAATGTAACATGGCAAAGATGAATGCACTTTTGGAAGTCGAATGTAAGGGAAATGTCATTTTGGAATTTCTGTGGTTTAATGGGATATTGTTGTTCGTGATGAAATTTTCTTTTATTGTTGTAATTAATTTATAGCATTAACAAGATGACCCGCTGAATTCATTTTGGGAGTGATGACTGATTGAATGTATTTTTAGTCCAGTGCCTGCATTTAAGATATGTATTGACCAAGTTCAGAGGCTGTCATATGTGGATCAACTTACTATGTTGTGTATTTTCAACAGTTTCGATATGAAAAATAACTTTTATATTGATTCAATGGATTATTGCATTTTGAAGAAAAAAAAAGTGTCATGGATTTATTGCATTTAGGGAAAAAAATAATAACATTTTATAATAAATTTTTGAAAATCAAAATCTGGATTTGAATTTTTTATGTTATTATAGCCTATAGATGCTATGTGAAAGTTTTTAAACAGAAAATAGTGGTTTTCATCTTGCCACTTTCTTGGTAAAGAAAACACATTTTTACTCAAATTAATCAAAATGGATTTATAAGTAGTTTCGCTTTCACAACGAAACACAGCGTCACACACGGTGGGGTGAGCAGCGGCGGCCTAGAGTGAGCAGAGGCCGGGGGATAAAGTGAGGAACGGCCGGAGGGCTAGAGTGAGCAGAGGCGGCGGATTCGATGAAGGAGAGGCCGGTGGGCTTGCGGCAACCACATGTGACGACCCTGGGCTGGACTCCGCTTCACCCACGGTGAAAGCCGATCCGGCGATCCACAGTGCAAAGTTGATGTATTTCCTCAGCAACCAGCACGGATCAGCTCCAGGCATGACGAAGCAGATATCGTCCTCTTTTGGAAGGCCAAACAAAGTAGTTTCGCTTTCACAACGAATCACACAGTGCCTTCACGACATGGCCTTCAACAACAATACAATTTTATGTCTGGACACAGCACTATTCACATTGTGTGGTAGAGGCTTTTGGTATCGGGGCATTTTAATGAGTATGAGTACAAGTACAGGAGTGCAGTATCGGGGCATCCCTATAATATTTATATATATTTTTTTTCTTTTCAATTATAAATTCTAACAAAAAATTTGTATATATATATATATATATATATATATGCATTAATAAAATAAAACATTCAATGTAAAAAAATTAATATTGATTTTATTAAATTAATAAATTTATTAATTTAGTAATTAAATATAATAATTATTTTTTTTGTTTTATTAATGAATTTAATAAATTATATACTTTAATTCTAAAACTAAAATATATAATTCCAATATTTAAAATTTGCCTTACTTTTAAATTTGTTGTTTATATAGCTTATGCCATATGCGGAAGGTTACTTTGCACATATGAAGTGACTGATAACAGATTTCCTTTTTACATTCCAACTGCAAGTTGAAGCGTTTTTGCAAAGGACAAAAGAAAGAGGTTTATCGTAGCGCTATCATGTTGACCAGACCGCACAGAATGCCCCAGGATGTGTCTCACCTCAATCATACAAATATCAAAGCTGGCAGGCAAAAGCCAAGGTGATTCAATAACACAGACACAGACAGGGGTTCTTCAACTGAGTCAGGATCACTCTGAGGTTTGTGCTCAACACTCTGGATTCAGGCATCTTTACCTCCAGCAAAATCTGGAGCTCAGCATAAAAACTATTACATCATGAGAGAAACATACCGGCAGATAATGTTGAATGTCTGTTTAAAGCACATACAGTATATGAGTTAATATCATGTGACTGTCTATTGCTCGCTGTTCTTAAGGGATTGTATTATTGTATTAAGCCCGGGCTGGAGGGATTGCATGATCAATAGCGGTGACAGTTTGAATGATAGGATGACTGGGGGAGGGCTGATGGACAAAAGGGGACAGCGAGGCAGGTGGTGGGGGTAGTTGAAAATGTTTCCCAGGTGGCCTTGCAAATGACAGCTGGCTGTGCTGTGTATATGTGCCAGCCATATGACTGTTTGCTCAAAACTGAACAAGCACACCATCGATAAAAATCTGTGGACAACATTACAATAACCATGCTAATGTATATGTGTATTTGAAGATTTTTTGAGAAATTATGAACATCAGTCTAGTCCATTTGCCCTAGAAAGATCTAAAGAGACACTTTGGGTTCACAAGGCCCAACCGGAAAACAGGTCCACATACGTATATAAACATATATATATATATAGTCAACAAGCACGGAAAAGGTACAGGTGACAAGGGAGCTTCAGTAGAACAACAGTGAACTGCGGTCAGATGAGATATTGTCAGGCCATATGTCAGTAAAAAAACAATTTTCCTGTCCTGTCCTGTGGTGGCGAGCGCTGTAGCCTATATCATTTCATATTAAAGCATGCAATGTCATAGTTATGTCGTCAGTTAAGTCATGAAGTTAGCAAAAAGGCGATTAAAGCTGCCTTAAAACTGTGCATGCATGTAAGTATTTGTTATTTATGAGTTACATTTAAGGATATGTCTCTGAAATGCAGTGGTTTTCATAACTATCCTGGAGCAGCCCAGCACTGTCTCCCTCATCTAACACACCCGATTGAACTCGTCAGCTCATTAGTAGAGACTTTAAGACCTGAAGTGGGTCAGAAAAGGTAAAGTGTTGTGAGAAAATAGGATGCGTGTCAGATCCGCGACATTTTCAGCAGCGGCAGCTCTTAAAGAAACAGCACCTAAATAACCTATTAACCCAGCTGCTGTGATGTCTGTTCATCAAAGAACAAAAGAAAAAAGAGGAAATCAACGACTCCTGTAGCTTTAAGGATTCATCTATATTTAGTTTAGAGTTTAGTGTTTGACAACTTTATTCAATTTCTGTATATTTCCTACTTATTGAAGGGAACAGGTGGCTAAATATGACATTTATTATAATGGGTTTATGTGAAGATAGTTGTTTTTTTAAAGTCTAATAAATGTTCAATTTGATAGCTCTCAGGTATACTGTAACGTTGAATGGCTATAGTCAATGATTAAATATTAGGGGGAACCGATTGAACTCGTCAGCTCATTAGTAGAGACTTTAAGACCTGAAGTGGGTCAGAAAAGGTAAAGTGTTGTGAGAAAATAGGATGCGTGTCAGATCCGCGACATTTTCAGCAGCGGCAGCTCTTAAAGAAACAGCACCTAAATAACCTATTAACCCAGCTGCTGTGATGTCTGTTCATCAAAGAACAAAAGAAAAAAGAGGAAATCAACGACTCCTGTAGCTTTAAGGATTCATCTATATTTAGTTTAGAGTTTAGTGTTTGACAACTTTATTCAATTTCTGTATATTTCCTACTTATTGAAGGGAACAGGTGGCTAAATATGACATTTATTATAATGGGTTTATGTGAAGATAGTTGTTTTTTTAAAGTCTAATAAATGTTCAATTTGATAGCTCTCAGGTATACTGTAACGTTGAATGGCTATAGTCAATGATTAAATATTAGGGGGAATATTTACATCATTAGTATTGGTATCAGTGATACTTCAGTCATAAAAAAGATGCCTTTAAACAAATATAAAAAATATGATGTCTTTATGTTGTTTCTACATTAATTTGAAGATTGAATGTGAAATTATTGCAATATAAAAGTATATTTAAAAACTTTAATGTTAGGTGGGATTAATCGTGATTAATTAAAATAAAAGTGTGATTAATTAGCTAATTTTTTAACCGACTGAAAGCACTAATATACATAGATAGATAGATATTAGATAGTAATATTAAATAAAAATAATAAAGTGAATATTATTTAAATATTTATATTAAACATTATATTTTATTTGTTTGTTATATATATATATATATAAAATAAAATTTTCATTTGAATATATGGTGTTTCAGTTAAAAAGACAGTTCAGGTTCACAAGGGCCAACTGGAGAACAGGTCCTGTTCTCATTCTATATATAATTTCATATTTCATTTGTGGATAGATAAATATTAAATTAAAAAAACTAATAAAATATCCATTTTAATATACATATTTAATTGAATATTTAACTTGATAAATAGTTTGATATAAATATTTAGTTTAAATATGTAGATATTTCAGTTAAACATCTAATTTGAAATCCTAAAACACGTAAGCCAGCCTACCGTTTAAGCACATTTTAATAATGAATTGAGTATTAAATCATGGAACGGAGGGCAGGATTTCAATAGGAAGTGAGAAACGTGTTTCATTGGCTCTCCAGAGCAGGTCCGTCATGGTCTTGGCCTCCTGAGAGGCATTCTCTGATGGACCTGCTCTCCGGTTGGCCCTCGTGAACCCAAGGTGTCTCTTTAAATCTAGCTAGTGCAGACGGACTCCATACACTCAGTCTGCTTCGTATGTAAATGACCAGATAAAACGAGTCTAATGAGCCCATAGAGGTGTGGGTGAAGCAGACTGCGTCAGAGCTAGACAGCTAAGAGTGGCTGAAGAGAACCAGTCATGCCCGCCATGTAATGATCGATGCTTTGAACACACAGCCCTCCCGAGGACCCACCATCACATCCTCAGAACAAAATGAGTTACAGTTATTGTTGAGGTCATTGTCTGACATTGAAAAGACGTGAGATGACTTGGTGAAAGGGGAGCTGCTGAAAATGAAGTCATACAAACTGACATGACAAGTTCAGAGTGACATAAAAAGAAAGCGAGGAATGGATTGAATTTGGAATATCGATCTTGGTTATAGAACTAGTTTAGTCAAAAATGAAAATCCTGTTATCATTTATTCACCCTCATGTCATTCCAAACCTGAATGACTTTCTTTTATTTTGTGGAATACAAAAAAGATATATTGATGGTAACCTAAGTTTCGGTTCCCATTGACTTCCATTGTATTTTTATTAAATTTTTTTGTCCATATAATGGAATTCAGTGGGAACCAAAATGGTTTGGTAATATTCTTCAAAATATCTTCCACAGAACAAAGTAAGTCAAACAGCTTTGGAGAGACAGGAAGGTGAGTAAATGATAACAAGGTTTTCATTTTTGGGTGAACTATCCCTTTAAATTTTCAAGCTTCAAAATGGCCAGAAAAGCATAAAAGTATCATGAAAGTGGTTGATATGACTTGTGAACTATATTTCAGGTCTTCTGAAGTCATGTGATAATAGCTTTGTGTGAGAACAAACCGGTCTTTTGAGCCAAATCTTTTCATTGTTTCACTGAATTGTGACCAATACATGATTTCAAATGAATCTGTTTGTGTTCCACAGAAGAAATCAAATCAAATGGGTTCTGAATGACTTGAAAGTAGAGACAGAACTATCTCTTTAAAGAACAGGATGGTTTCAAATCAAAGGAAGAGATATAAATGAAAGAGCATGTGAGGAACATCTCATGAAGATGTGTGAATTAAGTTAACAAAAGGAGGTCAGCACTGGAGGAAACAGTACAGTGTGGTTTAAAGTGAGGCAGTACAGTGTTTGTCCTCTTTTCCAGTGCCTCCCCTCTCTCTTGCTCACCTGTGCCTTTCTTGCAGATGTAGGGCAGGTTGTAGTTGCAGGGCACATCGTTCCATTTGCCGTTCTCATGGGCGATCATCACCACGCAGTCCTCTCCGCCCGCAAAGAAATTATCTGGCTGGTTCTCCCTCCAGTTCTCATATTGCTGGAGGAGGAACGGGGATATTTCAGAGCTAAATCCAATCCCATGGCTTTACTAGATATTTCGTGTACCGTCTTATATATCTGTTGCATTACAAATGGGTTTTCAGATACGCCTAATGGGTCTGATATACTATATTATATAAACTTGTTTGGTGCCTAAATGGTTTGAAAACTTTAAAGAGAGACCTGTGCCCCCATTTGCATGATCTATCTGATCCTACTGCCTGCATTATCATACTGTGATTAGACTAAGTGATTAATTGTACTGTATGTTATGATACTTGTACTAAAATGTACATTTTATTACGAATAGTTTATTCATATACTATTCATACAAATAGTTTATTCATATTTAAAAAAATATTTTAAATGTAATATTTTGTATGTTGATGGACATAAATATTTCAATTAAATATTTAGTTTAAATATATAGATTTCAATGAAACGTCTGTTTAAAATAACATGAATAAATAAAATGTATATAAAAAGAAAAAATTAAGTAAAAAGTCAATATTAAATACATGTAAATATTTACAATACAACATTTTTAAATATTTACATTAAACTACATTTAAATATTTATATTAAATGTAACATTTTATTTATTGTATATTTAAAAAATGTATAAATTATATATTACTTTTTTAATTTGTTGATGGATAAAAATAAATTAGAAATCGAATTAATAAAATAAATGTTAAATTCTTATATTAAATATGATATTTTATTTTTAATGGATAAAAATATTTCAATTAAATATTTAGTTTAAATATAGAAATAATCTAATAAAACATCTATTAAAAATACATGAATAAAAAAAATTATATAAAAATTGTTTTAATTAAAAATTATAAAAATAAAAATATAAAAATAAACATTCATTTAAATATTTATATTAAATGTTAATGTATATAATGTATCTATAAATGTTATGTGCCAGTCTCACCAGATCCATGTTATCTGTCCACTGAAAGTCGTCTTCCACCATCCTGTCATTCAGACCAATCCATGTGTTTTCATGGCACAGTCCTGTTTTAAAAGCACAAGACATTTCAAATTATTTAATTTTTTCCATAAAAAACATATATTTTTTTGCATTCATTTAGAAGTTTACTTCCAGCACATATTTGAATCACACTTATTTTGCCATATATCTGATGAAAACACTCATATTAATACCAGGTGTAACCAGCAACCATGAAGACCACTGAAGACCAGGTTAAAGGTGGGGTAAGCGGTTTTTCAAAAACGCTTTAAAAAACTGATTGGCTGGTTCTCCCTCCAGTTCTCATATTGCTGGAGGAGGAACGGGGATATTTCAGAGCTAAATCCAATCCCATGGCTTTACTAGATATTTCGTGTACCGTCTTATATATCTGTTGCATTACAAATGGGTTTTCAGATACGCCTAATGGGTCTGATATACTATATTATATAAACTTGTTTGGTGCCTAAATGGTTTGAAAACTTTAAAGAGAGACCTGTGCCCCCATTTGCATGATCTATCTGATCCTACTGCCTGCATTATCATACTGTGATTAGACTAAGTGATTAATTGTACTGTATGTTATGATACTTGTACTAAAATGTACATTTTATTACGAATAGTTTATTCATATACTATTCATACAAATAGTTTATTCATATTTAAAAAAATATTTTAAATGTAATATTTTGTATGTTGATGGACATAAATATTTCAATTAAATATTTAGTTTAAATATATAGATTTCAATGAAACGTCTGTTTAAAATAACATGAATAAATAAAATGTATATAAAAAGAAAAAATTAAGTAAAAAGTCAATATTAAATACATGTAAATATTTACAATACAACATTTTTAAATATTTACATTAAACTACATTTAAATATTTATATTAAATGTAACATTTTATTTATTGTATATTTTAAAAAAATGTATAAATTATATATTACTTTTTTAATTTGTTGATGGATAAAAATAAATTAGAAATCGAATTAATAAAATAAATGTTAAATTCTTATATTAAATATGATATTTTATTTTTAATGGATAAAAATATTTCAATTAAATATTTAGTTTAAATATAGAAATAATCTAATAAAACATCTATTAAAAATACATGAATAAAAAAAATTATATAAAAATTGTTTTAATTAAAAATTATAAAAATAAAAATATAAAAATAAACATTCATTTAAATATTTATATTAAATGTTAATGTATATAATGTATCTATAAATGTTATGTGCCAGTCTCACCAGATCCATGTTATCTGTCCACTGAAAGTCGTCTTCCACCATCCTGTCATTCAGACCAATCCATGTGTTTTCATGGCACAGTCCTGTTTTAAAAGCACAAGACATTTCAAATTATTTAATTTTTTCCATAAAAAACATATATTTTTTTGCATTCATTTAGAAGTTTACTTCCAGCACATATTTGAATCACACTTATTTTGCCATATATCTGATGAAAACACTCATATTAATACCAGGTGTAACCAGCAACCATGAAGACCACTGAAGACCAGGTTAAAGGTGGGGTAAGCGGTTTTTCAAAAACGCTTTAAAAAACTGATTCGGGCCGAATAGCAAAACAAACTTGTAGCCAATCAGCAGTAAGGGGCGTGTCTACTCATGATGTGGAGGAGAAAGCGTTCAGTGCACGGGACGGACATTAGCCGAGCTGAGTGACAGAAAGATAGAGATGGCGGATAAAAATCAAAGAGGAAAACGTCTGCGGAACAAAAGAAGGCTTAAGGCAATAAGGCAAGAAGTAGGACCCGTGTAAATATCGGATCAGCTTTCCAGCGCTGGAGAGAACTCAAGGAGCGGAAGGCCTGTGATTGGACGCCCAGGTTGCTTTGTTTCTTCTCGATAGGTGAGTAACACCATGTCTGTGCCGCAACAGCTAAAGTCTGTCTAATACACTGGACGCGACAAAGCGACCATTGAAAATCATTTGAAATTTATGTCAATACATCATGAATAGAACGCAGCAGCAGTTTTCTGTCGGGGATTTGTTGTGTCGTGCCATGCCACATCCAGTGTAGACCATATATATGTATACATATATCTAAGGTGTAGACAGCATCACTGATTATAATGAGTTCTATAGTATTTTGTCGCGCCGCGCCGCTCGCGTCTGGTGTAGACATGGTGTAACATTGGTTTTGCTTTGTTTCACAGAACTAATCGTTGCCTGGGTTGCGTACGTATGTGTGGGGCGGAGCTATCAAAATAGGGGCGAGACCCTTTTGGGGTAGGGGCGTGTTTGTTTTGGTGATTTCATATGTCAACATTGGCAACCAGAAATCGCTTTCCCCACCTTTAATAGCATGAGTAAATAGGGTCTTACTGTCATAAAATGCAGAGCTAATGCTTCCCCTTTAAGTCGTAGTCTGCTTTATGTCTCCTACAGGGCCACTGGGAGCCGAAATCACAATTCAAGCTCAAGCCAGAAGCCATCAGATCGTCCCTAAGATGCGTTTGCAAGGATTTTTTTTTTTTGGTCTACCTGTAATGGAATTTCAATCATGGTGTTACTGATTAACATCATTACAGGGCCCATTAATCTTCCTAATGGCTGTGCCCCCTTTATTGCAGGGGTGGAGATGTCCATTTTCAAGGCGATTAAACACACTTTTTGGTGAGTGCAGTGACTCTGTGTGCAGACAGCAGCAGACAGCATGCTGTGAGAGGCCACTCATTATGCTGGATTTAGGCTCGACTAGGGGCGGGAGACATGATGCAATCTGTGGCGTGCGGGAGGTCAGCAGTGCTGTCGCTTGTCTTAGTTATCTGGCTGGATATTAATGAATCTAGGCTATGCAAATAGTTTTAGTCAAAGCTAATTGAGTAAAACAGACAAAGATTAGCTACAGTTACGGACAGTTTTATATTCCATAAAGAACAGGGTTACGCAAAATACAGAATTTAAGAATTGGTTTCTGTTTAATGAGAGTGAATTTGAATTGGCCACACATCCCAATAATTAAAAATAATAATAAGTTACGTTATAGCCATGAACTGTAATTTGCCACACGCAAGTTGGATGCAAATGATTTTAAGCGGAGGGACATTCTTTTTTTTTTGCAAATGTTCATTGAAAACAAAAGACTTGCAGTTGATTTGGTGCTGCAAAATGATGTTAACATGTCCAAAATTTACAATGATCAATGGTAAATGTGAATAAAAATTGGATTTGGTGGCTAAATAAAACAAAAAGTTACAAACAAACATTTTATGTGGATATTTTATCATTAAAAATCATTTAACAAATTATACACAAAATATCCATCACATTACACCACCAAAATGTGAGCAACCAAATTAATAAAATTAATTAATAAAAAATAACAACATTTATTTATTTATTCAATGATATTAGTATTTCATCAAAATATTGGTTGGTCTATGCTGTTAATGGTATTGGTAAAAAAAAAAAGAAATTTGTTTGGGGTCAACTATTTTTGTTAAAGAAATGAATACTTTTATTATTTAGCAAGAATGCATTAAATTGACCAAAAGTGACATTAAAGACATGTACAATGTTACAAATAACTTCTATTTAAAAGAAACTCTGTTCTTTTAACTTTGTTTTTACCAAAGAATTCTGAAAAAAAGTATCACTTTTCCACAAAAATTATAAGCAGCACAACTATTTTCAAAATTGATAATAATAAGAAATGTTTCTTGAGCAGCAAATCAGCATATTAGAATGATTTCTGAAGGATCATGTGACACTGAAGACTGGAGTAATGATGCTGAAAATTCAGCTTTGTCATCACAGAAACAAATTACATTTTAAAATAGATTAAAACTGAAAACAGGTATTTTAAACTGTAATAATATTTCACAAAATTACAGTTTTTTACTGTATTTTCAATCAAATAAATGCAGCCTTGGCGACCATAAGAGACTTTCACAAACAATAACTCTAACTGACCCCAAAATCTGAATGTTAGCATATCTGCTAAAAGTATTTTTTTTAGTTACACAACTTTATTTGTGACATGAACGTTGATACTGACCATTAATGAAGTCCTGCTCTTGTGTGAAATGGATGCTAGCCAGATGACCGCTGTGCTCTCTGCAGTCCTTCTCAGCGTCTTCCCACGTGTGTCTATGGGTGAAGTACCTGTAGCAGTGGCCGTGAAACTTCCTCCAGTTGTGCTCGCAACCCTCAGTATCTGAAAGAGAAAGAGAGTGTGAGGTACAGTACAGAAAAGAGTCAGAAACAGCGAAAATGCTACTAGTTAGCATTTAGCATTCTTTCAACAACTGAAATAATTAACATCACAATGCGAGGAAAAAGTTGGAGGATTAGCCCAAATTTCTTAGCATTTAGTTTGTCAGGATGTTTAAAAAAGCCCATTCAGCGATAATCTCACACACAGCTATATGCTAGCCTACTTTAGCACTCAACTTTAGCTCTTCTGAAGGGACACAACCAAGTATTTTATTCACCCCGCTTTGTTGTCACTCTAATCCGTAGCTGTGAACATAAGCAGTTTAGCATTAGCAAAAACTAAAATCTTAATCTATTCAAATGACAACAATCAAGAGAAACGTCTTCCGCCGCTAAATTCAACGGCTAAATAAGCCCTGTCACATCCCTGTCAGACCTGCCTCTCTCTAACCCTCTGGGACTCTCTACCGCATCTGGACGCATGACGAACAGATAATCTGTACATTTCTAAGCGCGTGTGGCTTCGTACATTTGTGTATGTGTTTGAGGGTGAAGGTTTTAGCCGTTCCCAGACTTCCCATTTCATGAAGCTCCAAGCACTTCGCTGCCTTTTTTACTTACAGCAAATTCAAAGTGACATTGGTAAATTGGCTGCTGCAAATTGGCCCGTATGGGGCTCTGTTTAGCATGCAGAATGTGGGGCAGAGGAACAGAATGTACCACAAGAATGTATTTAAGGCACCACGACCACTGCAGTTGCCATGGGTCTGCATGTCCAAAATGTTAACGTCTACTGTCAGTCACATCACTTCCTCATTTTCTTGATCAGAATGAAAATGTAATCATAATTTGCTTTTCTCTGCTATAAATACTAGCCTAGATGGCACTGGTGAACCAGCATAGGGTTATTTTTAGTGAAGTGACTGGTTAAATTGGTTAATGAGCCTTGTAGCATCATCAGAACACCAGTATCCAATCAGGTTCCCTCAAAACGCAATGTTTCACTAAAAACAAATGACTTTCAGTCGATGCAAATCAATGTCGCATGTCCAAAATAAACACATACGAAGGGCAAATGTGAATAAAAATTGGATTTAGTCAGAAAACAAAAAGGTACAAGCCACTAAACTTTTACCTCAGTGGAAATTGCATCATTAAATTATTCATTGTATATTGTGATGACACAAATTAAATATTCTTCACAGGACACCAACAAAATAAAATTATAAGCAACAAAATGTCACTTTTTCTTCATCGACATTAGCATTGACACTTCACCAAACCACTGGTTGTTATATAGTGCTGTGAATACTAATTTCTAAATTATTAATATATATATACTGTATACAGTGGGGGGGAAAAAAAAGTATTTAGTCAGCCACCAATTGTGCAAGTTCTCCCACTTAAAAAGATGAGAGAGGCCTGTAATTTTCATCATAGGTATACCTCAACTATGAGAGACAAAATGAGAAAAAAAAATCCAGAAAATCACATTGTAGGATTTTTAAAGAATTTATTTGCAAATTATGGTGGAAAATAAGTATTTGGTCAATAACAAAATTGCATCTCAATACTTTGTTATATACCCTTTGGTGGCAATGACAGAGGTCAAACGTTTTCTGTAAGTCTTCACAAGGTTGTCACACACTGTTGCTGGTATTTTGGCCCATTCCTCCATGCAGATCTCATATAGAGCAGTAATGTTTTGGGGATGTCGCGTAAGAACTTTTTCTAGCCAGTATATTTTCTTAATTCACCCGCCACTTGTAGCTGTGGCATTTTGAATCCTGTTTAGGCATATTAACAGAGCTAAAACTAATGCAATTTAATAAAACAAACTTTTCCATTTAAATACATAAATACATTCTATAACCTCTGCTTCCACATGTTCACATTCCCTGAAGATCACTAACACAAAAGATCTAAATTTTGAGGGCTGCCCCATTTAACCTGAGTTAAGTCTGAAGCTTAACCTGAAAGGAAATACTGCCGGAACAAAAGCATCACGATTCTGCTTCATACGCTTTGGCATTCAAGTTGCTTTCTGTTCTCTAGGGAGAAAACAGACTGGCTGCTCTTTCACTGCTGCTGAAAGGCTGGATCAGAGACAACACACGTCATGTTTCCCAAAGGAGGATGAACAGCGTTAGCTAATCTGTAAGGCAACAGCTAATGTTTAATGTACCAGTAGTTCTCAAATGGTGGGCCACAACCCAAAAATGGTTTGCAGGTCTGATAGGGTCGAGAATAGTAGGGAAAAACAATTCTAAATGTAAATAATAAAACACAATAATCATACATATGGGTAGGACAGCAAAATAAACAAAAGTTTAGCAACTTTTAAAATTTTGCTGAGAGCACAAAACTATCAAAATGAATATTTAGAATAATTTTAGAAACATTTAGAAAGAAAGAAAATATACTCTAAAACTATAAACACAAGTCAATTTCAATATTATGGCATATTTTGGGACCTGTGCAATTCATGGTAAATGTTTAAAACGCTAAATAAATATAAATAAACTATGCAAAATTAAGTCACAACTCTGTTCGCTAAATACATTGCTTATTTTTATTTAATGTTTTTTCACTTTTAAATATATAAAAATGTAAAACTAAAACAAATTTTAATTAATCCAGGTATCAATTTATCATTAATTTAAAAATGACTTTTATGTGCTTTTTGTCTGATTTTCATGTCTATTTTTCTGAGTTTAGGAAATCCTAAATGAGATCCTGGATGGATCCTACACCAGTTGTGGAGCCGTAAAGCCAAGTGTCGTAATGGGCTCCCCACGGATGGCCTGTAATTGCTCTCGATAAACCAGGCTGAAGCACCTTGTGGCTGTGAGCGTGAGTGCATGAAACCTGAGTGCTTTCGCCTCGCATCAGCTTTAACAAGCGCCAGGCCCTTTAAATCAAGTGCGCCAATGGCCCATACCGTCGAGGCCATAACCATCCATATCTCCCTGCCAGAGATACGGATGGTGTCTGTACATGAAATGGCAACATGTTTGTCGCTCCTTGTTCCAGCACTCGCCCCTCTGTTCTCGCTCCATCACTTTCACATCTGTGAAATTGTGCTTATTACTCCTCACTCTCGAATGATCTTGGCTACATCATCCGAGACAGAATGAGGTGGCTGAAACAGTAATCTTCACTATCGCTTCTCGTGTCTACTTAGGCTTGTTTACGGCCTCCATTCTCGCAAAGAACAAAAACGTGTTTCGCGGAATGGTGTCACCTGAAAATCAACCCCCCGAATGCTTCATCATCAGGGGTCTTGAAACCACAAAACTAAAATATCACATTGTGATGGGGATAAATGACCCAATCACTCAGCTGGAAGCACTTGCCCTTTTTATTTTTAACTGCTGCTCATTGACTTACCACACATTAATCAAGAAAACGTGCCGGCCGTCGGTGCGTCATGCTTGAAAGCCAGCAAGCCTCTCAAAGAAGAGTCCCTGAATTTTATTAATATACTTTTATTGATTTTAATTGATTTGATTAATTTAATAATATAATTTTTTGCCTTAAAATAACAGGACAGTGGAAAAGCTAGAGGTCGCACTATCCTCTGTACAACAGTTCTGACAAAACCTGTATTTATATATATATATATATATTCTGAGTGGTTTTGTTTGGCTTTGCTCTGCTCTGCTTTTGCTTTACTTTGGCTTGTTTTGCTATGCTTTTGTTTTTCATTTTGCTTTTTGTTTAGTTTTTTGTTTTATTTAGTTTTGTTTTTTGTTTAGCTTTTTGTTTTGTTTAATTTTGTCTCGTTTTTCCTTTCCTTTTTGTTTTGCTTTTTTTAAAAAAAGTTTTACTATACTCTGCTTTGTTTTGCTTTGCTTTTTGTATTATTTTGTCTTTTTTTGTTTAGCTTTTTTGTTTTGTTCTATTGCTCTGCTTTTGTTTTGCTTTGCTCTGCTTTGTTTGCTTTGCATTTTGTTTTGTTTTATGTATTGCTATTTGTATTATTTTGTGTTTTTTTGTTTAGTAGTTTTATTTAATTTTGTTTTGCTTTTTTGCTTTTTGTTTTGTTTTGCACAGCCTTTCACATCAACAGTGAAATATATATGGAAATTTTTTTCTCCATTTTGAAAGTTGACAAATATTTGTTTGTTTTCCTATCCTACTTATACATGTGATTGTTGCATTTTATTATTTACATTTGGCATTGTTTTTCGCTGCTCAACCCTATCAACCTGCGATGCATTTCTGGGTCGTGATTTACCATTTGAGCCTCTCAAAAAAGAAAGAAATGAAGGACTCCACTCGGCCTTTCCACTGGTCTCTTTTTGCAAATATTTGCAGAAGAACTGGTGTAATGAGCTAGGGATATGAAAGCAAAGCCTGCGGTGAGCAATATCATCTGCTTTGAACACTGTTGGGCTGCTTTCTTCAAAGCATTGCAACTCCCACTAGGCTTTGGGGAGAAGGCTTTCAGGTGGAGGACCGGTGACAACCGCCCATTCCCATTCTGGGCCAGGTGCCAAGGTATGCCAACGGTGACTTGTAATGCCTCCAGCATCTCTATTCTTTCTGCAACTGGAGATAAGAGGGCAGGCTCTGCTGGAGCACACCAATTTGGACACGTTCTCACTGTATTACAATACTGTGTCAACAGTGCTGAATGGATCCAGAAGCTTGTATGCCGTGTGGTTTCAGTCTCTTGGACTGATCAAATTGCAATGCACAACAGAGTCTACAGCTTTCTCTTTTCATTCGCAGGGTTGACAGCACTATTATGCACAGCAAGAAAGTGACACTCATCAGCACTTTCAAATGCATATAAGCATAGATTTCGCTATCTATCTATCTATCTATCTATCTATCTATCTATCTATCTATCTATCTATCTATCTATCTATCTATCTATCTATCTATCTATCTATCTATCTGTCTATCTATCAATCTATCTATTGTTCAATTTGTCCATCCATCCATCCATCCATCCATCATCTTGTCAAACTTTCTTACAAACATTCACAGTTG